GGCCTTGTTCTTTTCCTTTTTTAATATTATTTAAAACAATTTGAGAGTTGTAATTCAGCAGTTAACCTCTCTGGTCATAGGCTGTTCTTTGTTTCTGGTTATGTCCTTGTGTAAGTTATCTATATACTCTTGATTTAATAATATGCAGTCTTCTGTCTCTATTGATTGCATTTATTTCTTCATATTATTCTAGGTCTATAGAATATGTTTTCAAAGCATTTCCTTTTGACTCCCTGGAATGTGTTAGAGTCTGTTGTAACACCTGCTTTCTAATCCCTAATTTTTGATATGTTTCTTCTCTTCCTTTTCAGTACTTTGGTTTATAAATCTTGATCATTTCTCAAAGTAACAATTCTCCATTTCATCAATTCTACCATTTTTTCATCCATTTCATTAATTTCTGCTCAGATCTTTTTTGTTTGTTTCTTGCCATCTACTACTTTATGTTTTATTTGTATGTATTTCTTGAGACACATCAGTAAGTTTTTTATTTTAGATTTCCCAATTTTTTAATGAAATACACATATATAAACTCTGTGTATAAAAAAGCTTTATTGATGAGTTTTTAAAACTTGAATTGCTCTTTTCATCACTAACTCACTGATTATTCCAGAATGTATTTTTCAGCCTCTAAGAACTTCCATAGACTTTATGACTTCCTTTTACATTGATTTCTGCCCAATCCCACTAGGATATGATAAGATATAAGAAACGTTGTCATTGTTATAAAGCTATGAAGTTTTGCTTTGTGGTTTTTAATGCAATCTGTTTTAGGCAAGCTTTCACATGCTTTTGGAGTAAGGTATATTCCTTGACTACTGAATAATATTCTTTAGGTTTATATTAACTGCATTTGATACATGGCATAATTCAATTTGAAGTGTCTCTGTGGAATTTTAGTTTGGATGACCTATCTACAGATGACAGTGGTGTACTGAGACCCCCCCCTCCCCCATAGCTTTATCAGAACTATATGTCATTCTATGGACATTAAACTTTGTTGCTAAGAAAATGGAAACTCCAATGCCAAAACATACAGATATTAAATTACTATATCTTCTTGGTAAATGTATTTCTTGTATTAATATACAATAGTCTTATCTTCTGACTAGTGTTGATCTGTAGTCTATTTTTATCAGATGTAATCATTATATGCACATGTATTTTATATCATTTCAAGTATGATTTAAAAGTTATAATTTCTCATATACTTTAATATTTTTAAAAATTATTTAAATGTTTAATAATATTTTGTGTGAAAGTTTTACATATTAATTGCCATTTTTTGCATCTTCTAGAGAAATTCAATAATTTACATATTTTACTAGCAGCCACACTCCCTCAGCATACTGGCAAAAATTAGTTTTATAATAACAACAAAAGAACAGTTCTAAATATTTATACAAAGTTTTATATCTAGAAGCTTCTTCCAATAAGAAAAAGTAAGAGAGCTAGAATTAACATCTAACTGTCTTGACTGGATTTCTGTGAAGCAATGTGACTTTCTCCTTGTGCAGTTCTATAATTCAACTCTGATGTAGTGCTATACACATCAGCATACACTATAATCACAAAATTTTCTTAGTGATAGCTGATTATAAAATCAAAAGAAAATGAAATTAAAATATATAAATACAGGACAGAAATAATGTGTTATTTTTACATTATAGTAGCTGCAGAGCAGGCATGGCAGTCTCCCAACAGTTAAAAAAATATCTCCCAGTAAGCTTCACTTTGACACAGCTAAGAGCCACCTAAGAAAGAAATTGCAGCTGAAAAGTTTCCTAGATCAGACAGGCCTGTTGTCATATTTGTTCAGGATTATCTTGAGTGTAAATTGGTGTAGGAACACTTAGCCCACCATGGGAGGCACAATTCCTTGGACAGGTAATCTGGGGTGGCTTTATAAGAAAGGTAGCTAAACAGGAGCCTGATAGATCTAAAAATCAGCAAGTTTTTTCTATAGACTCTGTGTAAAGCTCCTGCTTGACTTTCTGCTCTGACTTTCGTCATTGATAGACAGTTAAATCAAATAAATTCTCAAGTTTCTTGTAGTCAAAGTGTTTAATCACAGCTACAGAAGGGAAACTAACATCAAGAGTACAGCGGTGGTGTCTGTTTTCTACATGTCATGGTGAGCACTTGTCACAGTGGAAATTGTGCCATTAAGCTGGCATCTGTTCCTTTGGGCTCCTTGATAACAATAGCTTCTGTACCTTTACTTTCTTTCTATCTCAGTACTAGGTTTTCAAGAGCTATCAGGTGGCTTGTGTCCTTCTAACAATATTTCTTGCAAGAATCAGATTTTCTAAGATCATTCTTAGGTTATAAGACTGACAATTTGGATGTAGTTGTGAGGAAAAAATTTGAAGCTTATCCTTCTGCTCTTTTAAAAGTGTATTTCTCACACATACAGAACCATGGTTCATGAGTAATGCATTCTCACCATTGTTGCCATGAAACATAAAGTCACATTCTCATAAGTCATTGACATAAAACACAACAGTGGTATTATTACAATCCTCAATACCTCAGCTTTATCAGGACTGGTTAATAGAAAAGTAGATCATCACTCTTGCTCAAGCCAAATAAATTGGTCATGCTGTACTCCATTTAGGCAGAGCTACATCTTCCTCTGTCTGTATTAGCACCAGAGTGGAACTCAATGTCATGCATAATCTTACACCCCAGATATTAAAAAAGTAGTACAAGTAAAATGCTGTTGGGTAGAAGAGTCTGTCTTGTCTTATTTTTTTAAAATATATATATTTACTAAGATCCTTCTGGTGTCCAAAGCAAAATGTGTGCTGTTACTCTATCTAACATGGGCATTTGCTTTAAGAAAGAGTTATGACTTCTTCAATGGGTAAGAGTTGCTATTTTGTCTAATTGCTGAATTCAAACTTCTGAGTATCACTGAGGATATCACAAATATCCCAGTGTGTTATGAAACAACAGTGGGTATAGAAAGGAACAGAGGCAAAGGAATGAGTGACCACAAGTATGTTTTATTTTTCACGAGTGAAATGATCAATAATACCATCACATTTAGCAAAGTTATACTAATGTGTATGTGTGTCTGTGTCCATGCCTATGTGCTCATTTACAAGTGTGCATGCATATTTATAGATGCTAGAGAGCAATCTCAATGTTACTTGGCCATGGACTTCATGATGACCATTGCTGTTTGGCTAATTTCCAACATTTCAACATTGCAAGCCACACTTCTCCAGCACATTTAATTTTTATTTTTAATGATTCTCAGTATGTATTATGAGAGTTCTCTTATGTTTTTGCTTTGGGAATTTTGTGTGGGCTTTGTATGAAAATGTATAAATCAATTTCCTCTTTAAACAAAATAATTCTTTGGAAAAAAATTCCTGCCACTGTAGAGCAAGAAAATCATTGTGCTCTCCTAATTACTCCAAGAACAGGAAAGTTAGACCTGATCCCAAGGATAAAACACCTACAATCCAGATCCAGAACCTGAGTCCATTAAGGGCAAGAGTTCAGTTAATAGGTATAGAGAAATCAGAATGCTATGGTTATAATAGGAAAAGAATAGACTATCAGGACCTTCACCTTGGGGAGCACAAGAGGGGAACAGGTTCATATAGTAAGACTAAGACACAATTAGGGAACAGGTTAGCACAAATATGCATCATGACCCTTGAAGAATGGAAATTACTCTTAAATTGTATTGGAGTGCCTGGTCCCCAGAAGTCTTTTGCCCAAGGTCAGGCATTTGGATAAGGGCCTTCATTTCCTTAGGGGCTTGAGGAAAGTTCCTGTTTGCTTAAAAGGGAGACACTCCTATCTCTCCAGCAGAGGAATTTTGGCCCATCTATTAACATATGACTGCTGCCTTAAACTTGTCAAGGTCAATGCTAAATTCTTCAACCCCTGATTTCTAGCCAAGCCCTAGCTCACATGCACCTTCTCACCCATTTAATCCTATGTGCAACTATAGAGTATAAAAGGTGTATTCTTTTTTAAATAAAGACATTGACAGCCATCCTGATTCCCCCTCAGATTGTGCTCATCTCTTTTCCTTTGCTGATTCCACACATCTTTGTAACCAGAACTCCCTTCAACCCAACCTGCTAAAGGTGATCTCCATCAGTTACTCATCAGTAACATCTTTCTTTCCAGAGTCTCAACTTGTCTAAAGAGTGATAAGTCGCCTAGGCTTCTTGGCCAGTAAATTCCAGTGAGTGTCAGTGATTTGACTGTTTCTGTCTCTCCAGTGCTTCACATGGGACTTGGGGATCAAGCCCAGGTCCTCTTGTTTGTCCAGAAAGAATTTTATAGATTAAGCTCTTTATTTCTCCCTAGTTTATGATTTTCAAAATTTGTTGGGCTACATTTCTGAAATTAATACCAAAAAATGATAAATTATTTCCATGTAATGATAACAAAGACATGGTGACCACAAAAACACACAGGAATTGAGGGAGAAGAAAGGATATTTGAAAGACAGGTTAGGAGAAAAGCACTTTCTAGTGACAGAGACCTGGCTATGCTGCACAAGTTCTTGCATCCCATATGGCATCCACTCCCTAGCATTGTTCCTGCAGGGTTCCATGGGAAGCATTCAGTCTCCATGTTAACACCTTTCTCCTGAACCTCCTCATTCATACATTTTCAGCTGCAGTCCTGAAGTCACTGAAGACAAATCAATAACCTTTCCTTGAAATTCAGTAGCCTATTTTCCTAGGATGCTCTTAAAACATACCACTTCCATGACAAGATCTGCTTAATGTTTGTTTAAAGCAGTTGCTTATGTCTTTGGGCAAAGGAAAACTGAGCGTTTTCTCACACATGTCACTCATGTCTGGGTGCTAATGACAAGGTGATTTTTCTCTTGTGTTTCAGAAGCTTTCAGAGGGCTCATTCTTGTAATGGCATTAAGCAGATGAAGCAAAGTTAAATGCTACCAAATAAACTTATGAATGCTGAGAGACATTGGCTATATAGTCATTCCTGGTATCAGTACTTACATTGTGCTTTGTGAGGTTTGAAATGTTAGCTGCTATTGCTTGGAGCCAATCCATACAGTCTTCAGCAGAAAGGCATTGAATAATTCCACTGCAGACTCCATCCACAGCAACAACTTGGAAAGCGTTTGGCCTACAGTTGCATCAGAACAGAAAGAAACAAACAGCATGTTAGTTAGCTGTTTACAGCTCAGTCCAGTACTTGTGGAAGAGATCTTCCTTCATACAATATGACAAACAGCTTCCATATCAAATCAAATTTGATTACCTTCTTTATATATCTATATCTGCTTTAAAATGAAGCAAGAAAAATGATCACAATATTATATAATTCCAAATAATTAGAAAGTGTTCTTAAATTAAGGTAATTGTGGGCAACCTTTGAAATATAAAAGAAAGCATGTGGTATTGAACAGCTGCAACTCAGGGGCATTTTTCCCCCTTGGCCAAGTATGCCCAGTCTGTGATTCTTTCTCTGATCTTTTGATAAGTGCTATTACATTTTCTGCCTTACAGTGTAAAGACTGCAAACACAAACAAATATTAAATATTACATGGTAAACCTCATGTTAATTTCTTGAATGTTGTTTAGATAAAGGTTTAATGGACATGAATACATGAAACTACAGCAGGAATGGGAGCCACCAAAGGCCCTGGCCATGAAAATTAGTCTGTCGTATAATGTGGGGGCACTTTAGAAAATTTGCAAGTCTTATTTAAGTCCACCAATAATGGAGTGATAGACAACTGCTTCCACAGTTGAACAATCAAAATAGGATCACATAATCACATATTATCTCCAAATACACACATTTCCTGGCTCCATCAGTTTCACAACTGGGCATTTGAGGAAGTTATATATTATTCATTTACTGAAAAAAAGGAAAACCCAAGGAGCACACATATGGCTCAAGGTCATGTGTAGGCCTCTGTCCATTTATTTTCTCTCTAGACTAGTTCCAGTCTCTAAATGGAACACCGGATGCCAGCTTTGCTATCCAAGCACTCTGCATTAAATTTTTCAAATGTTTATATAAACTAGTTCTCATACTTGATGTTTCATACTAAAGACAGAAAAGTGCTCAAACTTGCATTACTTATTATAATTTAAAACTAGATATTTGTTAGTAATAAAGTGATTTTAAACTTCTTATAATAAAAATATACTACATGAAAAAAGTATATTAAAAACTCACCAGTACATTCAGCTTAATTTTTGGTTGTGAGCCTAGCCTTTCATGGCTGAGCCATCTCCCTAGACCTGAACTTTAATTCTAATGCTCAACAATAAGTAAGGCATCTACAATATTCAGAAATAAGTCTGGAGAGATGGCTCAGCAATTAAAAACAGAGACTCCTCTTTCAGAAAACCTAGATTCTATTCTCAACAACCACATGGAGGCTCACAACTATCTATACCCTACAGTGTTTTGGGGGTAGACATCCTCTTTTGACTTCCAAAGTAACCAAGTATGTTACACAGACATTCATGCAGGCTAAACACTCATATGCATGAACAAATATTTTTTAAATATCCATACAGAAGCACAACAATCTACAGAAAATAAGGACAAATTTGAGCATAGCAATGTATATTTTTTCCATTCTGTGATTGTTGTGACCATTTCTTCATAAGCTGTAATTGTAAAATGAGCCATCTTAGAAATAAGACCCAAATGCTTTCACTCTAAAACTAAGGCCTAAGATTTCTCCTTTTAGGTACAGGCCATGAGTTACTGGAATAGGCCATGAGTTACTGAAACCAGTCAGTCCAGATTCCCGAAACCAGGAAGTGTAAAAGTACAGAGTCACAAGGTAGTCATGAGGTAATGACTGCCGGACTATGGAATGTCCTGTCCCTGGTTCCCTAGGTAACTGTTTGACCAAAGAATGTTCTAACCCTGGTTTCCAGGGTAACTGACCATAAAAATGTCCCTACCTGAGGGCAGCCAATGAGAAATGGTAGCGGGCAACCACCCCCTTAGAAGTAAGATTGAGCCATGATTTCTAGAAAGTCCCTAGAAGCGGGCCAATCAGAATTATACCCATACTAGCACCCCCAAATGATGTAAACTTGTGGATTTTTCCTTTAAAAACTGAGCTTGCAGAGAGGTGGGCACTTCGCCAAGCCTCCACAGCATTGGATCTGTTGGACGAAGTCCTTGCCTAGGCTTGCATTGCTTTTGGATATCCAGAATTAAACCTTGCTTTTGCATTCTACCATGCTCGTCTTCGGTGGTCTCTCTGGGGGTTACAATCTGGGTACAACAGTAATAAGAGTACAACAGCTAGATATTTTTAGTTCATCAATTCTGAAATTTATGTAAGCTTATAAATTTTATAGTCCCTGATAGAATAAATCTGAGAGACTCATCTTTTATACATCAGACCTGAATATTAAAGCAAAACAGTTTTTATAATCTGTACAATGCATATAAATAAACATACATTTCTAATTGAAGTTAATTATTCTTCTTTTGATTCATAATTGATTGTATGCCATAAGTTTGCTTACTGTGTCCATGAGGGTTGGATAAGAGAAGTGAGATAATGATTTTTGTAAATTAGAAACAAAAATTTCAGAGGCTAAAATATACAAAATTATTGTGTCTTGATTGCCCTCTGTATGAGCAGGAATCCAGGAACCTGGATATAGAACAGGCAGTGAAAATTGAGAAGAGCTCTGTGGACCTTCCTGGCAATGAAAAGCTGGCTAGGATCCATGGTAAGTATTTGTCTGATTATCATGGATAGATATGCAGCTTGGATAGGCCTATTATTAGGGAAAGTAATGTGACTAGGGAAATCTAAGGTACACAGTTGAATTAGGACACTTGAATGGATGCAGTTCAATAACTCCATGATTAAAATTGATAATAAGAAACAACAGAACCAAAATTCCTCTTTTTTTTTTAACCTAAACAGTGGAACAGCTATTGTGGGGAAGGCAAGAGAAAAAATAAATCTTACACAGAAATATGAACTCCAAAACTAAATATGAGGGGCTCAAAAACATGGCATCTTTTGAGAAAGACTGGTTGCTGGGTCTGTTACAATAAGGCCTTATCTGTAAGAACTTGCAAATCATTCCATACATGTCTACCTCATCCCTAGGTCAGGAATAGCCATGCTAACACTTCAGTATTTGACTAATATATCATGTCTGTACTTACAATCTTTGTGGTAACTACAAAGTGCAAAAAAAGGATAGATAGATAAGCCAGATGGTGATGGTGGTGCCTGCCTTTAATCCCAACACTTGGGAGGCAGAGGCAAGCAGATCTCTGTGAGTTCAAGGCCAGTCTGGGCTACAGAGTGAGCTCCAGGAATGGCACAAAGCTACACAGAGAAACTCTGTCTTGAAAAACCAAAAAAAAGATAGCTAGATAAATAGATAGATAGATAGATAGATAGATAGATAGATAGATAGATAGATAGTGTTAACATTTCATACAAATATCTAGCCAGCACACAGGGTCTTACAGCTGTAGTCACTTAATTATGCACATGCACTGTGTAGATGAGTAAACCTGTATATGCATGCTCTAGGACCCCCTTTAAAGGCAAGCTCTACTTGTTCCTCTCTCTCTTTCCCACCACTCCTCTGAGAGTCAGGCAGGCAGGCCTTTGCATCTCTCATTTCCAATCCCTCATACTCTCTCCCTTCTCTTCTCTTCTTCTCTCCTCAGCTCTTGACTCCTCTCTTAATAAACCCTTCATGTGAGCCCTGTCTCATGGCATGTCTATCTGTTCTCATCTGCTATTTTTAACGTTGGTGCTACAAGACACAGCAGCTCTCCTGGCACTTCCCCCTATTTGCTGGCAGTCTGAGGTGTGCCAAGGACCCTGGACACAGTTTATCTACAAACCCCTCCACACAACACCAGCTACTACAATTGGTGAGTCTCCCCTCTCCCAGTAAGTGTAAATACTTCTGTGGACCCACAGAAATGACAATTGGTCATCTGGTGCCCCACTGGTGTTTTTGGAAGAGGGAGGAAATCCCAGCCACTGCCTTCAGGGTAATCGTCAGTCTCACTCACCAGCAATCACCTTTGGCCATTACTCATGATTGAGGCCTTGTTTCTCATCTATGGGACCTATGGTGTCCCTAGTATACATCAGACCTATGTGTCCCTCAGGCTTGGTACCTTTGCCCCTGCCCTTTATGTGATGACTCAATGGGCAGCTTGTGCATTGTCTATTGGTCCTCAATTTCTCAGATGTTAGAAAGTATAAGCCATTGAATCTTGTTTTTTGTTGTTGTTATTTTGTTTTTGTTTTCTGCCTCACTCATGGGAAATAAGCCTACCAGTAATATAAGCCCAACATCTCCTCTGGGATGTCTTTTAGAAAACCTCAAATCTCTACATTTAATCCCCTATTTAAAGGCTTCTAAACTGCTCTGCCTTTGCACCCAGAAATGGCCCAAATATCACTTAGATAACTGGTCAAAATGGCCAATTAATGGCAGTTTAGACCCTGATGAGACTTTCCAATTTCTGTCAGTGGATGGGTAGATGGAAAGAGTTGCCTTATGCTTAAGCTTTCTTTTACCTCAGCTCCAAAACTTCTCTCTGTGCTTCCTGTTCACCAGCTCACACCCTCCAAGCTATGCAATCTGAACTAGAAGAACCCTCTACTACTACTCTAGACCCTGATAACAAACCCCCTCCATTTCAAACCCTGATAATGAACCCCACCATTCCAATACAACTGTCCCTTCATCCTCTTCAGTAATGGCCCGCTCCAGTCATTCAACTCTCACACCTATTTAACCCTTCTTGGTACCCATTCTTGTACAACTATGGCATCCCACCCTACCCAAACTTACAGTTCTCCCATTTTGAGAGGTAGCTGGAATGGATGGACTGGTGAAGGTATATGTCTCTTTCTCACTAGCAGAACTCTCTCAAATAGAAAAGAAACTGGGTTCTTATGTGCCTAACTCTACCTCTTTTATAAAAGAATTCCTATAGCTGGAAGCTTCTCTGGTCCTGCCCAACCCTGCAGTCAGGACGAATCTCTCCCACCCACATCTCACAACCACTTGGTCCCAAGTAAACACACAGAGGCTTATATTATTTACAAACTGTATGGCCTATGGGTTCTTGCTAGCTAGGTCTTATAACT